ACACTAACAAGGCACGGACTCAGTATTCCAAGGCATCATCCCCAGCAGGCTGCCCTCTCCCAATGGTGCTCCCACTGTCTCATCACCCACATCACTCCTCACTGCTGTGGGAAACAGTGCCAGAAAGCACTTAGACTTGAAATAAATCAAATTGTTTCCATCACAGCATCCCATGATAACATTTATCCTCTTTGCATTGTGTAATCCAAAGCGTCAAAACAGTAACAAATGCATTGTCCAGAATCATTCAGCTCATTGCCAGGTAAAATTAATGTCCAATTCAACCCAAGCAGTAGGAAACTCTGTAATCCCTTCAGCCCATATCTGGGCTGAGAGGGGAACAGCATCAGGATGAGAAAAACAGCTTTTCAAGTCACTGCAAAGAAAGGGAAACCATTGGGAAGATAATGGTGCTTATGGAGATGGATGGGAAGAGCCACCAGATGCCTGATAGTAAGAAATCAATGCAAAGGCATACAAATGAATGAGCATTGGTCAGGACTTCCCTACTTCAAGGGAGATTTTATTTTCTCCTCACTGGAAACCATAGGGCCACATGCAGGGTTCAATTAAAAAAAAAATCAGGATCATCACAGAGCAATCAAAGACAGCAAACAACTTTGTGCTTTGGGGAAAAGTAAAAGGTATCCAAGGTCAAATCTTGCTAGAATCATGGAATTATTCAGGTTGGAAAAGACCTCTAAGATCACCAAGTCCAACCCCAACACACCCCTCACCATGCCCACTGACCATGTCCCCCAGTGCCACATCTCCATGGTTCTGGAACACCTCCAGGGATGGTGATTCCACCACCACCCCCCTGCACTCTCCTGGCCCCACACAGCCCCAGCCTTCCCACAAATCAGCCATAGCATTCATCAAGTGCTGCTCCAGAAAAAATTAACCTCATTTCTCCTGCTCCATTGATCTCCTCGGGGCAGTTGAATTTTATCAGTTCACAGAGAGATCAAACAAGCACCAGAGAGTGAAAATGGAAAGCTGGGAGAATACACAGTGAGAAGTACAGAGGAAAAGTCCCAACAAGCAACACAAAGCTGTATTACCTCTACGACACTACAAGCTGGATGCTGTGCTCCTGCTGGAGCCCCACATCTTTTGCAAGCAAGACAGGATTGTCGGAGTTGTCTGAGCTGCAGTTCACTTGTACATATGTGTGACCACCACAATACACAGGGACAACTGTACATCCTTCCACGTCCATAGGTTGAGAAAAGCACACTCATGTTCATGACCCCCAGCCTGGCCAGGGGGAGGAAATAGCTACCAATTTCCCTATTTCCCAAGGCAGATATCCATCTTAAGGACTGTGGTGGGCAGGCATGACATGTTATCCACCTCAACACATCCTGTACAGATACAGGAGAACCCAGCACTCCTACTGCACCATCAGAAAAATAACGTTCCCAAAATCTCTGCACCCCATATCCTAGGACCGCTGGGGATATCTCAGTATTTGGTGGCACAAGGAAAGCCAAGCTGTGCCAGCAGTAGCTACAGAGCTTTTGTCAGGAATAGGAAAGGAATAGAAGGGCAGAGAGCACCTTTTCGGAAGGTGCTTAAATACTAGCTGATGACAAGAGCACCAGCAGGGCTTTGATCAGCATGCTGGAGGAGGACACTCTGTACAGCAGAAGGAGTTTCATTTAATCTGAATGATAACGTCCACATGCTTTTAATTACCTCTTTAGCCATGTACTCAGAGGATTTTGACATCTCATCTGTGGCCTGAGATTTGGGGTTATTTTTATACCAAGTTTTTACTAAGACTTACATATTTCCAATCTCCCTGCCACTTCCCTGTCTTTGCATTTATTATAATTCCAAAAGCAGCAACAGAGGGGAAAGGTTGTTTGCTCCTTACTTTAAAACAGGTATCATCTCTCCTGTAACATTTGCATTGCAAACGCTGCCATGTTTTGCTAGCAGAGGAGGCTCAGGATCCCAACCAGGCCAATCTATCTCCACTGCTCAAACAGATAAACCCAGGAGCTAAGCCCACCTTAGGAGGTGGTATCTGCCCATTGTTGACCTGGTTTCATAAACAGCTACAGAAAGGCAGAAAATTCCATTAAGAGTTATGGAAAAATTCTGTATAATCTAACGTCAGCATGAAGCTCAATAACTCTGTTGTCATTTCAGCTTATTCACATTGCCATCCTGTAGTGTCCACATACCTACTTCAGAAACGTGCCTTCCTTATTGTCCAGCACGGAGCACAAACACGTGAGACAAAATGACTCAAAACCAAGGACAATGAAAAACGCTCTGGTAAAAGACTTTTCTGTGGCTTTCCAAAGTACAGTGGCATACTGAAGATTAACTCTTTAATTCTGACGATGGATACTCATGGTCAGGCACTGGAATAGGCAGCAGAGGGAAGTGGTAAAATCAATGTCCCAGGAGGTATTGAAGAACCATGGAGACGTGGCACTGAGGGCATGGTGGCAACGAGTTGATGATTGGACTTGATGATCTTAGAGGTCTTTTCCAACCTTAATGATTCTATGAATATGGCAAAAGACTGAAAAATCAACAGTAACAAAGATCTCGAAAGAGCCTGTGAAACCAGTGATCTAATCCTGGCCCTCTCTTTGCACCCCACTGCTCCCTTTGTAAAGTGCAGAGAGGGCAGAGGGCAGAGCACTGTGCCATCCAAAGGCTGTGAGGTGCTCAGATCATGAAAATAAGCAGCAAGAGAGCAAACGCTGAGATCACCTGGACTGTGGACCCTCTGTGGAAGCCCAAACGATAAATTAACTTTCTTTTATAGAAAGAAGGTGGGACATTGCTGAGGGTCCCCTCTGCAGGATCCACCAGCTGATGCTGTTGCTGTAATGGGGATTGCGTTACGCCCTTGAGTGAAACTCTACCCTGTGAAAGTCAACATGCATTCACCAACAACCCCTTCTCTGTAGCTCTCCTTCAGTGATCAAAACCACGCACAGAGACTTGTGCAAAGAATAACCTCCAGCTAAAACGCGGATTTTTCTGAAGTGCTGTCTGGGGCTTTCTGTTAGTAAATACGACAACAGCCTGGGCCTTCAGAAGGTCTTTCCCTCTCTGGGCCATTCCAGCACACACAGGTTTTTCTTCATTGCTCCATAGCTGCAAGCCCACCAGGAGCCTGCTGAGCAATGTGGTCAACACCTGCGCTGCACGGTTTATTTTCTTCAGTCTCTCCCCAGGAATTATTCAACCCAAGGACATCGAACTGTGACACAGAATGGAATTCAGAAACTTCCCTCTGCAAAGAAAATATCGTTATCCTTACGACTAGCAAAGGGAAACTAGACAAGCAGGACTGCCTCCTCGCTTTCCATCCCCTTCAGAAGATACACATTCATATTATATTTATATCTTGCCCCAAGCAACAAGAGGCTTTCAGGAGAGCCAGTCCGAGGTCCCCATCTTTCAGTCACCAAACACTCTTGAATCAGATGAAGGAACAGGAGCCTGCAGGCTTCCACGCTTTGTTTTAAATCACAAGCATCCATTTCAGCCTATGTGGGCTGACCCCACCGTGGAACAGAAAAGATGAACTACCTAATGAACCACACTCAGCCCTGCCTCTGGTTCTTGCTTTAAAACACATGTAAAAAACACAGAGCCACCAGGCTCTCCTTTACAGAGCATCTGATATGACAGGATGTCTGAGGAAATGCTTTGATTCAGTGGCTTCCACTGATCATGGCCACTATTGCTGGACCAAAGAATCGATGTGTTGGACCACTCAGCCTTTTCCATGACCTCGTCTTGTTAGACAGCATATATCCTCATCCTCAAACAGAACTGCCTTGCTGCTTCCTGCTCCTCACCTCAGCTCATGCACTGAGGATGAGGATCTCTAACAAAATACTGAACTTAAGCACGAATCTATTCTTTGGAAAACGATTTTCTGTCTCTAGTAACTTAAAGAGCAAACGTGCAGCACCAAAAGGCATTTATCAGTTAACAACATTAACTCTTTTCTCTCTTCTTCAGCTGCCAAGAGACAGAAATAAATCTATATCTTTACAGACTTTCATAATTGAGATCACCTGGATGAGCAAAGAAGAAATTGTGTGCAAAATGAGGTGCCACAGTCTAAGAGCTCACAAATCATTAAGATGAGTCAGGTTGTTAAATGCAGATCAAATTTCCACAGACGCTGGGGGCGTTCCAGCTAGGCTTCAAACCTGGCAGCCTGATCTCCACAATGGCCCAAACCCAACACTCGTGGCCAGCAAATGCTGAATCCTTGGCTGACCCCTGGAATTTGAGTATCAAGAGACCAGGATGTTCCTAAAATCCAGACAATGCCTTAAACTGCATGAGTTTATTAAAAAAAATTTAAACTGATATCTTTTAATTAGCTTTTGTTTGAGCTTCTTATTTCCCCATGCTGCACCAAATGCAGTGTGAACGCTGATTTTCAAGGCAGCACAAGAGCAAGCAGCAGCAGCAGCAGCAGAACAGGCCCAAGTTGGTGTAATTAGAGGGAGATCACTTAACATGTCTGGATTCAGAATCATAGAATGGCCTGGGTTGAAAAGGACCACAATGCTCATCCAGTTCCAACCCCCTGCTATGTGCAGGTCACCAACCAGCAGCCCAGGCTGCCCAGAGCCACATCCAGCCTGGCCTTGAATGCCTCCAGGGATGGGGCATCCACAGCCTCCTTGGGCAACCTGTTCCAGTGCCTCACCACCCTGAGTGAAAAACTTCCTCCTAATACCTAAACTAAACCTCCTCTGTCTCAGTTTATCATCTCAACAAAAGATTTCTAACCAGCTCATCCTGTGACCTATGGCCCTATAGTGTCACAGAAACCAACCACAGCAAGGGAAGGGCAGGGTATGAAATGTGCAGATGGGGACAGGGTACAGGGTGACAGATCACTCATCTGCTCTTTTTTACCTTCATCCTCTCCACAGTGCTAAAACCAATACATTGTTCCTTTTGGTATCCAGGTAGAGACAAAGAAGCTGTTAGTGTCTTACCCTGATAGGACGCCCAGCACCAAGTTGAGCATGAAGAAAGAACCGATGATGATGAGAGGGATGAAGTAAAGCCAGTTCCAAGTATTTCCTGCAGCATCGTTTGTCTGGAAACCAAAAGAAGAGAGAGATAAATAAATTTTAATGAGCCTCAGAAACAAAATACCATAAATTGCAGAGCAGGAGGCACTGGTGATTCCCTTCAGATTTCCATGGGGATGTGTACCATCAATACATCAGTTAGCTATGGCAACCAGTTGCAATGCAACTGCAAGTGCATTGAACCACTGCCTGCACCACAAATTTACTCTCAGCTCCAGCACGAGGGTTCATCTCTAACTCTGGAAGGGGCCAAAATTGATCGTTGCAAATTTTAGCACCCTAACTCTGTGTACCTTCTACAGCATCCTCGTCCCTACCCACCACTCTGTGTTCCCTCACGCTGAGCATCAGTGCAGTATCTGAAGCATGGGAAGGAACCACAGCCTTCCACTAAACCAGGCTGCATGGCACCGTGCCCAGGGTCTGCACACATGGAGCAAAAGACAAGGAGTCTGCAAGAAAACAAGGCATCTTCAGAGCGACTGCAATGCCACAGCTGCTTGCTCAGCACCTTGGAATTGTCATCAAAGCTCTGTCTGAAGCTCCCTGAGTAAGCAGCAGCCCAGATTAGGGGGAGGGAAGGGTGGTTGTGTTTGTGACAGTTTCTGCATTCACCAAGCACAAGGGAGCTCTTTAAGGAGCTGCTGAAAAGTAAAATGCCACATGGCATACTGAGAAAAATGCAAATTCTGCTCTTGTGAGTGAAAAATGCAGCAATCAGAGAACGTGAGGGAGAAGGGGGAGAAATACAGAGACCCAAATACATTTCTGCTGCTCCTGCCTTTTCCTGCAGTGGGCACAGAATAGCATGACCTACCCATCCAGCCAGTTTAGATGCAGGCAGGAACTAATCCAGCTGTGTGTGCTGAATGCCATCCCAAAGTCTTTGCATGAGTAGAGTGCACCCGTGACACGGGTGACCAAAGTCATCACGTTTTGTGCAGGTAATAATGGTCATAACACTGATGCAAATCAATACCTTCTGAGTTGTTTCTAATACAGTGCACAAATCCTTCCTCGAGGAATCTTTTCCAGATCAAATGAATGACCAGCCTTTCTCCAAACAGCTAACATCTTCAGAAATACCCATGTGAGTTGGTCACCCAAGAGGAGCAGGGACTAACCAACCCAGCCACCTACCAGCCCTGCCAAAGGCAAAACCACTGTGAGACAGAGAAACAAAGAGAAAACGAGAGCAGAAAGGCAGGAAAACTCTGTTCAGCCTGTTATCTCCTTACAGGGATTTTAATGCCTTTTCCAATAGTTGTCATCACAGCCCAGCCTCCATTCTCATTTTGCTGACCGTGGTGGCAGCCCTCATGGCACCCATTGCACAGCAAGGCTGGGAGCTGCCATCGGCCAGTCAAAGGGGGCTGAAACTCAAAAGGAAGAGCTGGAAGATGGGAACAGATGGGAGAAGAGAAACCACATAAACATGCAAAGAGAGTGCAGCAGGTTCATTGCTGCCAAATGATCGTTTATCATTTATTTATTCATTTGAAGCCCAAACTTGGCGACAGATCCACAATTCCATGCCACGATCAAAGCCCTTAAAATGAAATGTGCTGAAATACAGCTAATTCCCTGCTCTGAGCTCCTGCTAGACTGCCTGATGCTCGGGGCAGGGCAGAGCCTTGCTCTGTCACTTCTCTCTCATATAGTGATCCAGAACAACCCAGAGAACAAAACATCAGCAGAAAGGTGAGCAAAAATCTCCTCCCATGAAAGCAGAGCCTTCACAGACAAGCAGTGTCTTTCTCAGTGCTGCTAAACACACTTGAACCCAAGCAGAGTTTGTGGCAGCAGCTCTGCCACGGTGAGATGCTTCAGTGAATGAAACCTGGGAGCTGACAGGAAAGCCATCCTTTTCTCCTCCAGGAAAAATCCTGCAGGCACCTCCCTGCAAACAGCAGCTGAGGCTTGGGCTGTGGCCCAGCTCCAGACTTGCTCATTAAGTAGAATGTGCCAAAAGACAAAATCAATTTTAATGTTCCAGCTGACATATTTTGCCAGAGCAATGCCTGGCTGACTGTCAGTGCCACTTGATCCTAACTGCAGGCCTAACCCAACAGGGAAGAAGTAGAAACAAAATACATGTAGCAATGTGCCACAATTACATCAGGAAAAAGCACCAGCTTGCAAGAGGGCTCCCTTGTTGCTCACCCACAGCTTTCACCAGCAGCACCTCAATAGTGCCCAAAGCAAAGTGAAGCCTTGCTGCAGGAGTGCCCTGGGCACAGGCATGAATAGCTCGTGTCCATTAAGCTTGGCAGCATCCAATTCCAGAAGGAGATGTGCTGCACAGTGGGAAACTGATGTACAGGAAGGATAAGGGACAGTGTAGGGTCATGGTAGAAACAGGGATGCAGCGATCTGATCCTCAGGCACCTGAAGCCTGTAAAAACAGTCCAGCCACTCAAGTGCTTTTCCCAGTGAGCCCAGCAGCCACAGCTTCCTATGCCCAACCTCTGCTCATCTGTAAGCTGCTTCTCACCCAGCATGAGCAGCCAAATGCACCCTCACAGATGTTTCCCATCTTTCACCTCTCTGTTTTCTACAAGCCTGACCTAAACCCACCCTTGCAATTCTCTAGGCTCCTCCATGTGACTCTGTTGCATTGGCCACCCCAGAGCCCAAAGCACAACTGGAGAGCCCAGGTCACAGCTGGGTGCCAAAGGACAACCTTAGCATTAATCTGGGAGCTTTCTTCTCCCTGTCATGCAGCAGCAAGCAGACCGACAGCATCCTCAAGCAGCCACCCCACGGCCACCTCTCAGCAAAGATCAGTGGATGAACATTGTCATCTGTAACAAACGCAGGAGCTAAAAGATTTCTGTCAAGCAGGGAGATTAATGCCCTGAGCTCCCAATAAAGCCAAGAGAACAGAGTGTACTCCAGCCAAGCACGAGGTGCTTCCCACAGCCAGGCCTCATGCAACCTGTCTGACAGCAGGGGAAGGCCAGCACTAATACAGACAGTTGGGCCAGTGCCTCTTTATGCTAACAAGATGGCATAACTGTGTCTAACTATTAATTCATTTAAGGGAATGTTTTGAAATAATCACTATTGCTCGCAAGGAGCTGTTGAGAGCAGAAATGCACTTCTATTACCTTTTGCCTTCCTTTTTCCAGTCCTGGCCATAACCCTGCCTCCCAGGACACACACACACAGAGGCAAAACACCAAGATGAGTTTTTCGTGTCTCTCAAGCTCCTTGCCATTGAAGCAGCTCTACCACAGCCAGCCCCATCCCATCCCCATGCACAGGGACTTCCCAGCCAACAGATGCCAGCAGAGCCTTGCTCAGCCATCACTTTTCCAGCCCATCCCACCCCAACAGTTAGTGCTCTGGAGACCCTAATTCTGGCTCCGTGCTCCCCACGTTACAGGCTGCCTAAGGAGATGGTGGAATCTCCATCCTTGGAGGTGTTCAAGAAAAGAGTGGACGTGGCACTGAGGAACATGGTTTAGTAAGCATGGTGGGGATGAGGTGATGGTTAGACTTTGTCTTTGTAGTATTTTCCAACCTTAACGATTCTATGATTTTATGGCTGGGGCATCACCAAGGACTCACAGCCCTCCAGCCTAACCCTGACTTCAGACAGGGCTGATCAAAGGTAATAAATGCTGAATTTGGTAGAAGAAGCCCTCCATAGCACTTTGTTGCCAGTAGTGCTCCCACTAGAATTGGGAAAACTGTCATAGCCTCTGCAGAAGGAGACCTGAAGCACCAAGGAAGGGAAGCCTGTGCTTTTTCATTAGGATTGCTTAAAGTCATAGAATCATTAAGGTTGGAAAAGACCTCTAAAATCATGAAGTCCAACCATAAACTTATTTCCACCATGCCCCTCATCAGTGCTGCATCTCCACGGATCTGGAACATCTCCAGGGACAGTGACTCCCCCACTCCCTGAGCAGCCTGTGCCAGTTTCTCACCACTCTTCTGAAGAAGAAATGTTTCCTAATACCCAACCTGAACCTCCCCTGGCGCAACTTAAGGCCATTGCCTCTCATCTTATCACTATTAAATGGGAGCGGAGGATTGAATCCACCTCGCCCCAACCTCCTTTCAGACAGTTGGAGAGAGCAATAATGTCTTCCCTGAGCCTCCTCTTATCCATACTGATCCATTCCAGTTCCTTCAGTTGTTCCTCATAAGCTTGTGATCCAGACCTCTCACTGTCCTTCTTTGGGTACACTCCAGAATTTAAATCAGTGATGGGTTCCTGGTTCTGGAATCCCAACAAACATGACGTGAAATGTGGTTTACACGCAGCCTTGGGAACAGGGGAGCTCCTGCCTCCGTTCAGCAGATGGCAAACCTGAGGCTTCAGGAGATTTACAGACAGAAAATTAGAGCAAGTCAAACAAAGAACAATCCCCCAAATCTCTCTAAGCAGACAGCACAGCTGCCCACACATTCCCACACTCCTCCAGCTACATGACAGAACACATCTATATTCTGAAACACAGGACTTAAATCTGTATTTCACGTAGGAGATAACTGGGGGATTCCCACACATCTGGGCATGTGCTACATCTACCAAGAGCCAGCAAAGTGAACATGAAGCCATGGTCTGGGTGAATCTAAGAGCTGAGGGATGTGCAGTCCGGAGCTGGTGCAAGCAAAAGAGCTGACATCACCCTGCACTGCCCACAGCCCTTTTAAATAACAGTAGAAGAGGAAAATATCTGCCTTTTCTAAACAAGGACCCATTCTGCTACTTACACCTTTCTTTTCTCAGCCACTTTAGAAAGGAACTACAACCTGGAGGCAATTTTCTCATCTCCCCAAGGAAGACAATCTTTGTCCATCTCTCAGCATATTCTGTTGATGTGAAAGACAAGCAATTAATGGACCAGCATAGAAACCTTTGGAAAAAGTTTCCAAAGCAGGGTTCAATAAAGAAGAGATCTAATTTGACAGATACAGCCCAAGCTGAAACAGACCTCAGCTCCCTACTAGGATTTTAATCAAAATGTGAAGTACGTCTAGAGTTCACTCA